ATTGAGGAGAGAAAACCAAAAATGTGAATAAATTTTTTAAAAGCCTGAGAAGGATGTGGGACACTATCATAAGAAACAACGTACATCTCACTGGGATCCCAGAATAAGAAGAAACAAAAAAATCTAGAGAAATTAGTACAAGAAATCATGGAAGAAAATTTTCCCAACATCACAGAGAAAATAACTATTCAAGAAACTAAGAGAACCCCATATAGGATAGATACCAAAGAAGAAAGCACCATGGCAAACTCGCCAGTTCAAGGAAGAGAGAATCCTGAGGGCAGCTAGAGAAAAAGGACAGGCACCCACAAAGGAAAACTGATACTGAAAGCTAGAACTCAGAAGAAGCTATACAGACAAGAAGACAATGGAGTGTTACATACAAAATTCTGTAAGAAAAATCCTGCCAACCCAGAATCCTATATCCAGCAAAATTAGTCCTCAAATATGAGGGGGGGGAAAAAGTAGTATTGCCAGAAAGGGAAAAACTAAAGAAATTCAAACAAACAAGACCAGCAATATAAAAAATATTAACCAGATTACTACAGACAGCACATCAATAGAGCAGACAAATCTGAGAGCATCACACAGCAAACTACCACCCAGAAATCTACAGTGAAAGCAGCATTCGAAACAACACAGAAATGGAGGAGGAAAAATAGCCATAAAACACACACACACACACACACACACACACACACACACACACACGAAACAAATCAAACAAAACAGCAAATGACAGCAACAAATCCGCATATAGCAATAATGACACAAATGTCAATGGATTAAATGTATCCATCAGATGACAAGAGAGTAAGCAGACTGGATTAGGAAATAAGACCCTTCTACATGATGCCTGTGAGAGCACACTTTAACTCAAAGACAGAAATAGACTAAACATCAGAGGATAACAAAAAAAATCTACCAAGTGAATGACAACCACCAAAAGGTAGGTGTGGCGATATTCATCTCTGATAAAATAGACTTCAAGGTAAATAACAGAGCGAGAGACAAGCATGGACACTAAATAATGATTAAAGGAACAATACATCAAGAATATATAACTTTAATAAACATATATGCATGCAGTGAAAGACCTTTGAAATACATTAATCAAATTCTCACAAAGTTGAACACAGAAATAAATAGCTCACCAATAATAGTAAAGGACTCCAACACAGCACTCTTAAGTGAATAAACTTAATAAAGAAACAGAAGAGCTAAACAACACGATCAATCTTGGCATAAACACTGAACTCCACCCAACAACAGGACATTACACATTCTTCTAGTTACTTTAGAATAGATCACATGTTAAGCCGCAAAGCAAGACTCAACAAATTAAAAACCACTAATATACTACAATCTCTTTTCTCACATCACACAGCTATAAAATTGGAAATAAAAAATAGAAAGCATAAGACCATAAAAATAAAAACATGGAGAACGAACAACATACTACTTAAAAAACAAGTGAGCAGCAGGTCAAAGAAGGGATGTAATCAGAAACTTCTTAAAGAAAAAACAAAACAAATGAGAACAATAACGAAAACCTACTAACCCTTTGGACACAGTGAATGTAGTTATCAGAGGGCAATCAATGCACACATGAAAGAGAAGAAAAATCCAAAATCAACATCTTAACACAATAACTCAGAACAAGGGGAACCACATAAACCCTCAAAGAAACAGAAGAAAATAAATCATAAAGATTAGAGTGGAAATAAATGAACTGGAAGACAGAAAGCTAATGGGAAAAAAAAAATCAGTAAGACAAGCAGATTCTTTGAAAGAATTAACAAAATTGAAAAACTGCTGGCAAACTTAACCAAGGAAAAGAAGGAGACGATTCAATGAAAGATGAAACTGAAAAACTAATTACCGACTTCAGAGGGAAGTAACCCAGAATAAGAAGCAAAGAACTTTTCAAAAAGAACAAAATAGGAGATGGTTCAGAGCAGGGGTCCTCAAACTTTTAAAAAAGGGACCAGTTCACTGTCCCTCAGACCTGTTGGAGGGCCGGACTATAGTTTAAAAACAACAACAACTATGAACAAATTCCTATGCACACTGCACATATCTTATTTTGAAGTAAAAAACAAAATGGGGCAAAAACACCTGGCGGGCCAGATAAATGTCCTCGGCGGGCCCCATGTGGCCCCCGGGCCATAGTTTGAGGACCCTGGTTTAGAGTTCCAAACATAAACTGCAGAGGTATGAGGATCATCAAAGAGGACACTGAGACAGACTGAAAGGTCCTATTGCAGGGTATCACAGACTACCAAACACAATAAAGGAATCACACACAGTGGGATTTCTTCTGATCACTGTCCAGAGAGGTGAGTAGCCTTGCCATCAGACAGAGTACCTATAATCATGACAGATATAGTTAGGTTAAATTGTAACACCTAATAATTTAATCTCCATTTTGCTTCACTTTAAAGCTGTTTCCATTTTTAGTATTTTTCTGATTTCCTTTCTCTGTTTGGTCACTATTTGTTGTTGTTGTTGTGTTGTTTGTTTGCTTCCTGTTTGTGTTTATGATTTTCTATATATTAAATCCAGGATAGGAAAATCTACAGAGACAATAACTGGACTAATAACTACCTAGAGGCATTGCAGGAGAGGATGGGGGAAGCAGGAACAAGAAAACAAGAAGAAAATGTTCTGAAATTGACTGTGGTGATGATTGTATAATTCTCCTTAATAAGACTGAATGCTTATGATGATGGCAACATATGTACAAATGTGTTTGATACAACTGATGTATGGATTATTATAAGAGCTGTATGAGTCCCTAATAAAATGATTTTTAAAACCCTAAAACATTACTGAGGGGAAAAAAAAGACTGAATTATATGCCAATAAAACTATTAACAAAAGAAATCAAACAACACACTACATTGGGTAAATCTACTGCAAAAGAGCTCTTTAAAATTTTAAAAAGCAAAGAAGTCACTTTTATGACAACGGTCTTTTCTTTTTTTATTGTTAAATCATTTTATTGGGGGCTCGTACAACTCTTATCACAATCCATACATTCATTGTGCTGTGCCAACCACATTTGTACATTTGTTGCCACCATCATTTTCAAAACATTTTATTTCTACTTGAGCCCTTGGTATCAACTTCTCATTTTTTTCCCTCCCTCGCTCCCCCACCCTCCCTCATGAACCCTTGATAATTTGTAAATTTTTTTTTTTTCCATGTCTTACACTGACTGATGTCTTCCTTTACCCACTTTTCTGTTGTCCATCCCCCCTGGGAGGGGGTTATATGAAGATCATTGTGATCAATTCTCCCTTTCTCTCCCCACCTTCCTCTTACCCTCCTGGTATGGCTACTCTCAATATTGGTCCTGAGGGGTTTATCTGTCCTGGATTCCCTGCATTTCCAGCTCTTATCTGTCTGTACCCGGGTACATGTTCTGGTCTAGCCAGATTTGTAAGGTAGAATTGGGATCATGATAGTGGGGGTAGGGGGAAGCATTAAAGAACTACAGGAAAGCTGTATGTTTCATCAGTAATATACTGTACCCTGACAGGCTCATCTTTTCCTTGTGACCCTTCTGTAAGGGGATGTCTAATTGTCTACACATGGTCTTTGGGTCTCCACTCCGCACTCTCCCTCATTCACAATGATATGATTTTTTGTTCTGATATGATTTAATGCCTGATACCCGATCCCACTGACACCTCATGATCACACAGGCTGGTGTGCTTCTTCCATGTAGGCTTTGTTGATTCACAGCTAGATGGCTGCTTGTTTATCTTTAAGCCTTTAAGACCCCAGACGCTATTATCTTTTGATAGCCGGGCACCATCAGCTTTCTTCACCACATTTGCTTATGCATTGCTTTTGTCTTCAGTGATTGTGTTGAGCATCACAGAATGCCGGATTATTAGAACAAAGTGTTCTTGCGTTGAGGGAGTAATTGAGTAGAGGCCCAATGTCCATCTGTTACCTTAATACTAAATCTATAAATAAATGTACATAGATCTATTTCCCCATTATATATAAATATACTTACATATGTACATGTCTGCATTTAGACCTCTATAAATGCCCTTTGCTTCCTAGTTCTTTCCTCTATTTTCAATAAAGGTCTTTTCAACAGCTATATAAGCATATGAAAGCTGAACAAAGAAAAGAGAAGATAAAAGAATTGATGTTTGAATAGTGGTGTCCAGTGAGTAAGCAGCTTGGTGTGGTATAGAGTTATGATTTGGGCTAACCATAAGGTCAGCAGTTTGAAACTATCAGCCAATCAGTGGAGGAAAGACCAGGCTTTCTACTCCCATAATGAGTTCTAGTCTGAGAAACTCACAGGGACAGTTCTACCCTGTCCTAAAGGTCACTCTGAGTAACCATGGACTCAATGGCAGAGAGGGTTTTGAGTTGGTTATGAATATTGACTACCATGGTCTGGAAGAACAAGCAAATGAAATTAACCTTGAGAGAAATATAACCAGAATGTGAGGATGGCAAGATTTTGACTTGCTTTATTTTGGGTATGTCATCAGAAAACACTAAATGCTAAAAAGGACAACACATTTTGTAAAGTAGGGAATCAGAAAAGATGAGGAAAATACTCAGTGAGATAGACTGATAAATAAGCCACAACAAAAAACATCCAACAATCATGAAGATGACATAAGACCAGGAGACACTTTGTCCTGTTATGGTTTCAACGAGAGTAGATTCAATGGCAATAAACCACAAAGGCTTATAGTAGTGAATTTTACATTTCATTTTTTGTGCAGTTGTTTCAGTTTACATTATAGTAGATGATATTTTTCTCTAATTCCTTTTAAAAAAAGAATATAAAAAAAAAAAAAGAGACTATACATGAGAAAAATAGTAACTCTAGCTTCAGCTATAGTAAACAGCTGAAGTATCACAGGGTTTAAACTTATAAATGTAAAAGCCATTCTACTAGTAGAGGTTATCTTGGTGAAAATTTAGAATCCAAAATACTAATAAACTTTTTTTTTATTTACCTGTAACTTTGGTTCCAATAACCAGGGGCAAAGGAATTTCATCTGGGAGATCTTTGAATTGTGAAACATCTGCAACTTTCCTTTGTTGTAGAAGCCGTATTTTCTGCCGTTTCTGTTTTAATGCTGATCTCTCTTCCTCAAAAAATGCAGAAGAACATCTAGAATAAATTATAAAAATCATATAAACTGAAAACCATCCTATACAAAAACTTAGGCCCACTCTGCTTCTTTTACTTCTACTTTTTCTTCCTCTTCCTTTTTATGGGGGGCGTATTATTTAAAAACCGGTTCTTAGAAACAATACTAGTTTTTCTTCGAATTAAATTACCTTTAATATTTTCTGAGAAAGAGCAGGCTTTCTGTTGCTCTAAGAGTTACAGCCACAAAATTCCTACACCGGGTCCCTGTGGGTTGGAAGCGAATCAACAGCGATAAGTTTTGAGTTACCAATCTTCATTTTTAAAGACAGCACCTTGCAACAATGAAAAATGTATAGGCTCAAAGACGTAATATCTTATTATGAAATAGGTGGATTTGTTCACTATCCCTTGGCAAACTGTGTCTGAAACCCAGCTCAACTTGAAGGCTCTGTCCAGAAGAACAGCTACTGTCCCTGTGATCCTGTGGGCACACTCAGACAGGAATGAAAGAGGAGACTTGCCACTGGGCAAACTTAATCACACTCTGCTCGAAAGCCTTTGATCTTTAAGGCCCATTTTGCCTCTATCATCATATTCTAAGATGAATCAAAAGTATTTAAATACAGCAGTCATGTTAGGATATAACTATTCATTTAAATATCCATAATAAACTATATTTCCATCTAAATAATGACAGAAAGTAAGAAGAAAATGAGCAAAATGGAACACTGGGACCAGCATAATTTCCAATGTGAACCAATGTGAGTAGTAATAATAAGGACTGGAAATATATAGTAAAACCTTAGACATGTATTTTGTACATTATAAGGTTTCTGGGTAGTCCAAATAGTTGTTTGCACTCCACTACTAACCTGAATATTTATGTTCCAATCTACTTAGCAGTTTTGAAAAAGACCAAGCAATCTGCTTCATTAACATTATAGGTGAGAAATTTCTTTTCAATCCTAGGTGACCTTGGCTGCCTGCTGTATTGTAGACTTTGTCTTTTCGAGGTATACAGCATTCGTCATAGAGCACATCAGAATTATATGCTTTTGAAGCCCCACCAAGGAAAATGAACTTTACCTAAAACACACCTTTGCATATTAAAGGAACTAGAGGGGTCTATAATTCTAAATAATCAGATTACACTTGAATTCTGTGAAGTGAAGAAAATAAAATTATTCGATTATAAGGTGCTTTGGGTATACAAAGCCCCAACACTGAAATTAGTTAGCAAGATATATTTAACATATATTATTCTCAGATATGGTATTAAAGATTAAAATATATATAATGTACTAATGATTAAATACCCAATCTATTGATTTACCTCCGTGGTTTCCCCATAAGCCGCCTGATTTTTCCCCATTCTACTCTTGTTAGTTTTCTTGTCTTCAAATTAGGAAAAGACTCCTTTAGACATACACAAAAGTCATTATCGCCTTCAAAAAGTGGTCTATAAAGCAGAAATAATATTTTAATGGTTAAGAAAAAATGAATTATTTTATTAACAGATATAAAATCCAAAATACACATTCCAATTTTTCAAAGAATGGTAAACTTTCATTTCAATATCATGCAGATACAAAACAAGCAAAATTCCATGCACCCCAACTAAACTAAAGCCTTGGCACTTATGAAACAAAAAATTTGTAACAGTTATTCAGGGAATAATTATGACTGAGATCCCAGGGATATTTATTTCTGTTAAATTTCCTATAAAATGACCCTTTGGGGGACTATTCTAGCACTCACATGACATCAGATGATGATAAACGATTGCTAACTGCAGAGTAGCTTCGTCCCAGAGGTAATGCCAGCACCAACGAGTGCTCTTTGAGATTAGATCAGTTTTAGAAATCCCCCAAAACTCAGATTACACCAGAATACTAAAAGCTCTAAGCCTATGGAAAACCTATGTGCAAAAGGGAAACAATTCTATTCATGGGTTATGGAAAGCAGGAAATAATTTTAACAGCGATGCATCAAAGTACTGAGGTCAATTACAAACTTTCCTGAGCTTCACATGTTCTAGAGGAGTCAAGTGGCTTACAAAACATAGGAAGGAAATAAGGAGGAATAGCCAGCAAATTAAGCACTAATGACTAGCATATGCGCATGGATTCAAATCTTGCAGATTTCCTACGGAAACTCTATTGTTAAATGATTGGGGAAAAAATGATTGGATTTCGCACAAATGGCTATGTTCTACGGAAACATGTAGAATTTACAATCTTAGAAACCTTACAGAACATTTTTACCTGTAGGTTTAGAATCAACTCAATGACAATAAGGTGTTTAAGTACTCTTGAAATAGAAAACGATCCTAAAAATGAACTGAATCATTTTTAACATTAATAACAATTTTATAACTCTTATTCTAGCACTATAATTTCAAGATGGATTAAAATAAGTCTCATTCACCATAAATAATGGTGTTCTGTTTTAACATATCTCCATTCCAAGGCCTTTGTATATTATAATTACAAGATATTTGCATTTCATTGTCCACAGTAGCGCACAACTTCTTCCCAAAAAGGAGAAAAGGGCTATATAAAAAGGAAGACTGAAAAAAATAGAATCAGAAGACTTTTAGAAAAGGTTGTATTAAACTTCTTATTCAGTGAATACTCACAATATACGCATGATACATACTTGTCTATATTTGAGTAGAACCATTCATATATGCACCATTTATGCGCTTTGGGAAGCTTGAGTAGGTTACGTAATCGAAAACCAATCTTCTGTGAGGCTTTCTTATCTGGTGTTGACATTGTTGCTGTAAATTTCTATATAAGAAAAATGAGATTAGTTGCAGTTCTAAGAAGTAAATATCTATAGTACTCAATACACTTTTTAAAAGGTAGGTTATGGTTAAGAACTTATAGTCACTAATATTCATCATAAATTATTTTATTATGGTTCAACAAAATTTTGATTGTAAAAAGTCACCAGAGGCGCGGCCTGGGGCACCAGTGGGCGATGATCTCTCCACCTGGCATTCGGTAACAAGCAGAGTAAGCTGTCTATCAAAGTAGGAAGTATGGAGGAGAGGGTCAGTGCACTTGCACTAACAGATGCAAGAGGGCAGACATTGCAGAGCTGAAGATCTGAAAGTCGAGAGGATGTGGCTGCTAGCTGGAGATCCAGAGCAGGCCAGAGAGCTGGAGCAGGGCGGAGATCCGAAGTAGGCTGGAGACCTGGAGACCAGGAGCAGATCTGGAGCAGGCCAGAAAACTATGAAAAACCAACAGAGCGAAGCAGAGCTCTTGGCTTCTCCTGGCTGTGGATATGGAGCTGTGGCAGTTTCTTTCACAAGAAACTGTTATCACAATCCATACATACACCCATTGTGTCAAGCACATTTGTACATTTGTTGCCATCATTCTCAAAACAACTGCTTTCGACTTGAACCCTTGGTATCAGCTCCTGAGGACATCTTTAGCAAATGGTATCAGGAATGATGGGGGGAGTGCGGAGTGGAGATCCAAAGCCCATTAGTAGGCCACTGGAGGTCCCCTTGCAGAGGGGTCTCGGGGAGGAGATGAGCCAGTCAGGGTATGATGTAACAACGATGAGAAATACAACTTTCCTCTAGTTCCTAAATGTTTCCTCCCTGCTCCCACTAACCATGACTCGAATTCGACCTTGCAAGACTGGCTAGACCAGAGGAGGTACACTGGTACAGATAAGAACTGAAAATACAGGGAATCCAGGACGGATGAGCCCTACAGGACCAGTGGTGTGAGTGGCGAAACAGGGAGGGTAAAGGGAGAGTGGGTAGGAAAGAGGGAACCGATTATAAGGAACTATATGTGACCTCCTCCCTGGGGGACAGACAACTGAAAAGTGGGTGAAGGGAGACGTCGGACAGGGCAAGATATGACAAAATACCAATTTATAAACTATCAAGGGCTCATGAGGGAGAGGGGAGCGGGGAGGGAGGGGAAAAATGAGGACCTAATGTCGGGGGTTTAAGTGGAGAGAAAATGTTTTGAGAATGATGTACAAATGCGCTTTACAAAATTGATGTGTGTATGGATTGGGATAACAGTTGTATGAGCCCCTAATAAAATGTTTAAAAAACAAAAACAAAAGAGTAAAATTAAATTAGTGGAAGACAAAATTAACAAAAGTGAAGACAAAACCCTCAATATCAATCTGCTACAGGAACAACCATGAAAGAAAAATGAAACAAGCCTAAGAATTATGCGGAGCACCATTAGAGAGGAGAAACTTACATGTGATCAGAATTCCAGAATAGGAGACAAGAAAAAAACGTATAAAAAATTGTCAGAGATTCATTGGAAGAAAATTCCCCTAATATAAAAAATGAGAAGATAAGCATTCAAGACATAGAGAGGAGCCCAAAAAAGAAAATCGCCAAGATAAACATTCCAAAACCAAAGACAAGAATTCCAATAGCAGATTTGGAAAAACAAAAAGTCACCCACAAAGGGGAGTATTCTGATTCCTCTGCAGAAGTCAGGTAGGCAAGAAGGCAAAGGGATGACATACATAAAATTCTGAGAGGAAAAAAACTGCCAAGCCAAAATTACATACCCAGAAAAGTTGTTCCTTCAAATACAATCGCAAAATTAGGCTATTTCTAGATTTTAAAAAATTAAAGGATGGTAATATGGAGGGAAGGTGGAGTAGAAAGGGGGAACAGGTTTCAAGGATCTATATATAACCTTCTCCCTGGGGGACAGACAGTGGAGAAGTGGGTGAAGGAAGATGTTGGGCAGTATAAGATATGACAAAATAGTAATTTGTAAATTACCAAGGGTTCATGGGGGAGAGGGGAGCAGGGAGGGAGGGGAAAAATGAGGAGCTGATATCAAGGGCTCAAATAGAAAGCAAATGTTTTGACAATGATGTGGGAAACAAATGTACAGAAGTGCTTGACACAATGGATGATGGATGGATTGTGATAAGAATTGTATGAGCCCCAATAAAATGATTTGAAAAACAAGAAAGGATTCTAAACTTAAAAAAAAAAAAATTAAAGGAATTTGAAAAAACGAAACAAAACCAGACCAACTTTACAAGAAATAAGAAAGAATTATTTAGATGGAGAACTAACAATCACCGATACAACCTCAGGTGAACACATATGACAAGAACCAGAAAGTGAACAAAGATACCGAAACATCCACAGTGAAATATATTTATAAGACTGAAAATATAGAACCTGAAAAATCAATTTGTAAACAAAGTCAGGTAAGAAGAGGTAATAAATATTATAACTACTGAACTTCCATTTGGAGAGGAAGTCAAGTAGATTTGAAGCTAGAGCACACTGCTTTAAACTTAGAAAGAAATTAATAAATTACAAAGTAACCTCAATGAAATTTAATATACTATCTCACTAACAAAAAGGGAAAATCATATAGATTTGGTAAACACTAAAACAATGGCAATGAAGAAAATTATTTTTTCAAAACCACACAAACCTAACAACTACAAGAAGAAAATGTTCTTACACTACTGTTCTTAATATGATTTAGTTGTATATGTAAATTATATGTCAATGAAACTATTAATAAACTCAACACAGAAACTTAGGTAGAAGAAATCAGCAGCAGCATCACATACATACGCACTAAATCAAATGACAATAAATTCATACCTACCAATAATTACACTGAATGAAAATGGATTAAACATCCATCAAGAAACAGAGGATAGTAGGACAGATAAGAAAACAGAATCCATCAACATGCTGTCTTATGTAAGTTAATGTAAGAAACATACATTAACTATTACCAGATTAGCTAAGAAGAGACTCAAATTTGCATCAAACGGTATGGAAATACCTTAAAAAGTATATAGAGAGAAATACTGAAGAAAAGAAAGCTGATGTAGCATTTTTTTAACAAGCTGATACAGGTGTATTATTATCAGTCCAAATAGACTGTAAGGTAAAACATAGTAAGATACAACAAAAGGAATTTTTCACTAGGAAGATGCTATGATTCTGAACATGTATTACCTAATATTACTTCCGAATAAATAAAGCAGAAGCTGATAAGACTTAAAACTTGCTAAATAAGATAGAATACTTGATAAATCTAATTGCACCTTGATTCATGACATTCAAAAGAAAAAAGTTCATGCTTGCTTCAGCAGTACATACTAAAATTGGAATAATACAGAGAAGATTAACGTGGCCCTTGTACAAGGATAACATGAAAGTGTGTGAAGTGTTCCATATATATTTTTAAAGTTCAGTATGGATTTTAAACCATTTTATTATTTTAAAGTATCTTTCAGTGGACACGTGGGGCGCTTGTTATTTTAACTGTTTTACTGTGAGTGGTTGTGGGTTTACAGAGTAGACCATCAGCTTTACATGAAACAATTCACACATTTTCATCTCAATCCCCCTCAATATAGCCCACGTGTTTCCTATCGCCATTCTAACTTACCTATCCCTCTGAACTTTGTCCTTGGATAAATGCTGCTTCTTTGATCCCAAATGTCTGATTATTCTATGATATGTGAATATTATTATTATTTAATCATTTTATTAGGTGCTCATACAACTCTTATCACAATCCATACATACATCAATTGTGTAAAGCACATTTGTACATTCATTGCCCTCATCA